GGATAACCTTTGTGAGCATCGTGCAGAGTAAGACGTCAGACACAAAGATGTGCATTCATTGTCACTCTACTTTTATGAAGTTCAAGAACAGGAAAAAACCCATCTGCAATGATGGTAGTCAGCTTGGTGGTGACTCCCTAGTGGGTTACTGACTGAGAAGGAGGATAGGAGATCCTACTGTGATGCTAAAAATGTTCTGTGTCTTGATCTAGGTGGTGGGGATCCAGTTGTGTACGTGTGTAAAAATACACTGAACTGTGCTCTTAAGATAAGTGCTCTGTACATACGTTACTGTATGTAGAGCATATGTCAATGACAGAGTTAAAAAAAAAAGAATGCAAAAGAGAGACAGTGGAATTCCCTTTCAGATGACTTTCCCAAGCTGCCCAAGGTAATAAATCTTATAAAAGAATGTCTGGGGAATTCCCCTGCCATTGCTGAACCAGGCAGGTGGGTCAATGGTGCACAGTTAAAGCGCTGATCTGGAAATTCAACCATTGCTTTTCTATGTATGGGCAATTAACTAAAAATTGATACCCCTCCCTTCTAAGAGATGGATCAATATTTCCTATAGTCAAAACACAGAGTTACCACATAAAGACATTCAATCTCAGAGTTTCTGGTGGCTCCAAGTTCCTGGTGGAAACAAGATCACTAGGACCTCTGGGAAACACTCGTCCCAATTCATGGTGCTGGAGAGAGGGCTGCTTTAATTAGATCTGCACTGCAGACACTATGTTCTCCCCCACCGTGTGGACAGAGCAACACGCCTGACACTTGCATTGTTGTCTGCTTGTTCACTTAAAATATGAGCGTTGATGTCTTTCCCTTTCTCATGTTTAATACATAATGTCCTAGAAGCAGCAGAAACCAAAAATACTTTTCATTTCTAACAGCCACATGTAGACAACACTAAAAGATCATACTATTGTAGCAACTTGTAACAACAAAAACAAGTAAAAGTGACTGTTGGTTGGACTCTGTATGTTTTATAGGCTTTAGTTCAATTATCGTGTATTATGTGTAAGAGACTTGGTGAGTAATTTTAAAATATTTATCATCTTGAATGCTCACAACCACCCTGCAAAATACACCATATTGATAATACCATCACATAACGTTGGCAAGCAGTTGAGCTGGGATCTACCCCCAAGTTGATCTATTTCCAGAGGCTGAGCACAACCATTCATTTCTACTGCTCAACATACAGCATCACCGAACCACATCATCCCCCAGATTTCCCAGTGAAAGTTTCTCATGGCAACTTGGGACGCTGTGTTCCGTTGTCAGAAGAAAAAGCTGACCCATCTCCTTCAACACTTCATTTCTCCCCTGAAGCCCCTCATGATTTAAAGCTCGGTCACTGGTGGATGAATACAAGCAAAATGAAGCCCCACTGACCTTCACTACTTCTTCTCCATCGACAATCTTCAGTTTTTCTAAGTTCTCCTGAAGCAGCTGTGGCTTCATACGCCACTTCAGCAAACCCAGCAAACCCACTAAAATAAGAGTCCAGACAAGCAGAATTACTATTATTGGCCTAAACTGTCCGTATCAGAACCTCTCCGGGCTTGCCCACACATACACATATGCACACACATATGCACACGCATACCACACACACACACACACACACAGAGCTCTCATTGGTTCCGCTACCATTCTGGGTGAGCTTTGTGGAGCACACCAGCGTAGAAATGGAGAACACATCCCGGGAGCTGACAGAGAGCCCCCCGACACTGCTGGAGCTTCGACTCAAGGTGGCCCCCTTGTTTTCCACGTGGTGCCGGTAGGAAGGAAGAGTCAGGTAAGCACTGGCGTCCTCCATCTTCTTGCTGTCCCCCTGGAAACGACACCTTGGTTACTTCCCCAAGCCAAGGATATGTGCCCAGTGCTACACAGAGCTTGCAGCGGCCAGATTACACACTGTAAGGTGGGAAGGGTCAGAAATAGTGAGGGACGATGTCAGAGGAGCAATGAACATCAGCTGGTAAGGTAGGGCTGTTTTTCTGCAAAACATTAATGGAAAAGGAGTTGATCAACCACTTGAAGACTCTGTGGACTTCACTAAAGGCACAGAGGGGACTGAAAAAAAAAGATTCCCAAATAGGACATTTTAATTCGTCCTGGGTTGCATGAGATCTTAGCATCAACAAGCCCACCAGGAGGAGAAGGAAAGAGCTTCAAGAACAAGTTAACAGCCAAGGCACCGGACTCTGAAAGTCATGGAACTTAGAGCTGCTCTACCATTCACAAGTGCGTGTCATCTTGGATATATTTCTTGGTCTCTCTGTGTCTTGTTTTTCTCATGATTAAACTGAAGGTTAATCATATTGCCTAATTCTAGAAATTTTGAGCAGACCAGACAGCACAATGCATAGAAACACTTAGTAAAACTACAGACACGTTAAGTCCCCTGGTGTCCTGGAATGAGTGATTAGAGGTAGGCATTGCAGTAGGCATTTACTGAGCCCTTATTCTGCACTAAATACACACTAAGTGCTTTATATGCCTTAGTTCATTGCACTCAAGCTCACAACCATCACTGCTGACGTGGACAATGTTATCGTCTTCAGTTTAGAGTTGAGGAAATGGAGGCTTAAGGAAGGTGACTAAATTGAAAACTGACTGCAACTGGGACTCTGCCCTCGATGAGTTCACACTGGGGAAGAACGGCTATTAAGCCAAGAACCACCTGGATGTGTCCTAAATGAGAAAACAGAGGCTGTACTGAAAAAAAGGGGTTGTGCTGGAAAAGCCAAAGAGACTCAGAGAAAAGGAGCATGTGATGAAGCTTTGATGAGGCTGTGTTTGCCAAGCAGGCCACAGGAAAAAAGGGCGACTTCAGGCTCTGAGGTTGAGAAAGTCAAGGGCAAGAGTTTGACCCCTGTGCTGACGGACCACTTGGCCCTGCCCCTTTCACAGCCACACCCTTTGCCACCAGCCAGGGGTTAGCAGAGGCATGCCACTGTCACAAGAGGGGTTGTGGGCGAGCATGCACGCAGGGCCAGGCAAACACTTCCCAACTTCTAGAGAACAGTTCAAGTCTCATGACGTACAAAAAACGCCAGCTGACACCTGTACCCTTTATCCGTGGTGCTTTCCCATGGGCCACCTTATTCGTCTGTCATAAACATGACCGTCGCCACTTAACAAAAAGGAAACTGAGACTCAGGAAGACACGTGAGAGGACTCTGAATTTAGTCAACAGCAGGATCAGGATCCTAAATTCTAAGATTTTTTCCATTAGCCACAGTGAAGAATCTCTCAAATATTTCCTGCTGGTCTTCTGTACATCCCACAGGTGTCTTACAGAGTCAAAGCCATTCTCTATGTAACAATAACCTTTTCCATTTACTGAGAGCTCCACGTACCCACCATTGTCACAGTTGACACGAACTGTCTCATGTAACCCTCACAACTATTCATTGGGGGCTCATAGATGTGGACATGGATGCCCAGAGTAGATCTTGCACAAGGCCTCACAGCTGGGAAGCCCTGATGTGTGTGATTCTGGGGGCCCTGCTCTTAACTACTAAGCGATCCTGCCATGTCCCCTTCACTTTCTGCACCATCCTCCCTGCAGAGTTAATCCTAGCTCACGGTACCTTTAGGACAACCAAGTCGTGGCATCCGTCATGCAGAGTGGTCCCGTCTTCCTTCATCAGCTTCACGTAGGACATGGCAAAGTTCTTTTCTCCTTTGTCCTTAGCTGGAAATAGCATTGTGAGGTCAGGAAAGAAAGCCACACGTGGGCCACCCAGTGATCCCACTGTCTCCCCTTGGGGGGTGCTGCAGAGATGCCATTTGGTTGGGGACTCACATTCCAGGGACGACCGATGCCGAAACATGAACCGGAGATGGATCTTCTGCATGTCCTCGATGGGGACGGCCACCTCAGCAGGCAGAAACGAGAGCTCAGGAGACAAGGAGTTAAACGGCCCTCCCCGCTCCACCCCGCCCCGCAAAGGGCAGCCAGACCATTTAACTGAGAGTGCTGCGTGCTGATTTATCACCCATCCATCAAGCCTGATGAACTGTAAATAAATTACATAAGAACTAGCTATGAAGAGAAAATAAAGTACCAAATGTAATCCATTTGGCAAATTGCATTCCCGGCCAATGAAAAGAGGTCTGTAAATTATAGTGAGGAAAAATGAATCGTCTGAAATTGATATAAAAGTCACATAAGTTTAGCACGGGATTTGATGCACGGCAAACTGCACGAGGCACATTCTCCTCACACACTCCAGGAGTTCGGGCACTTGCAGCAGGGCTTAGCAAATTAACAACGCTCATTAGGGGCCCTGCTGGAGGACTCTCGTATATGAGAAAGAATAAAAACGCTGCAATACAGTCATATTTGGAGAAACCCCAGGATTTATTCCCATCGTTAATTAGACACATACCCAGATGCTTTTTCCTCCTGAGGACCTGACAAACACCCCTTGGTCACCCAGTTTCACTGTCCAGTGAGAGGTCTGCTGCTCCTTTGACCGAGATGCTTTTGGCCTGGCTCTGGGCTATCCCACCTCCCAGAGCCCCACCTTAATCTCTGTACTGTCTGATTCAGGCCCAGACAGAGACACTTAACTACCTGTGAGGAAACCACTCAGATTTTAAAAAGGCACACGTTTACTTTGTACAGATGACTAGCAGAAGCCAAACAGATGCACACTTGGGGACTTTCTGCTCCAGAAAATGAAATCTGAGCCCGAAGAGGTCCACCACGTGTTTGTGTTTCAGACAGAGCAAAAGAACAACAGAGAGTCCCATGGGCGGCTCGAGTCTGATCCATCCCTCCCTGCCCATGGAGTCATTACTATAATTGACAGCCACGCGAGGCAGCGGCCAGGGTGATGGAAGGAAGAGTCCCTACACGCAGAGAACTCCTGGCCCTTACAGGGCAACATGTCATTATAACGATGTGAAGAGGGCTAGCAAAGAGGTTCTGTAACTGGGGTGCAAGAGAGTGCAGAGGAAACGACCTGGTGCAAGAGCTCTCTGACCCCAAGGTTGGTCAGGTCATCACCTTGAAGAGAGTGAGTACCGGGAGACCCACGAGGCAAATCGCAGTACAGGTGAGAAGGCAAGAACCACTGAGGTCTGACCAGCCATCCCCAGAAGGGAAGTCTTCTGAGCATCTTGAGTTTGGTTCAGAGCACAGGGTGAGTTAAAGACTGCTGTGAGTTCCACGGCAGAGATATTTGAAGCTGTGATCAAGCGTCACTGCTCGCTAAATTAATTCCAAGCTCTACTTCCAACACACGATATTCCCTCCTGCTTTAGTGTGACAATCTGGTAATGCAAATATTTGTGGCTAATGCCTCTTCCACCTGAGGTACTCTCCCAGTAGGATATCTTCCAGGCATTAAACAGCTTTTTATAGCCAAATTTGCCCGCAAGTTCTGCCACTCTTCCCTGCCGAGTAGCATGACACAGCTTGCCGGGCTGGGCACGGTCCATGAGACCATCTGACAATTCCATGGTGGCTGCTCCCTGGGCCAGGGAAGGGTGATCAAGAGAAGCAGGGTGCTCACCCACTGGGTCACTATTTCCTGCCTGACATACCACCAGACCCGTGCCGGAGTATTGTTTCAGATCGTAGGGAGGTGTCAGGGTTTTCAGCTATTTTATTATTTTTTATTATTATTACCTTGACTGTTTCCATCCACCGTGGCTGTTTGACTTGATAGTATACGACGGACCGATATTCACTCATGGGCTTGTCCCCAGCTCCCACACAAATCGCATTCTGAGCCAAGAAAAACGAAAAGAGAGAAAACACTGAAAAATTGCCGTTTTCTACGCTTGGGCAATTTTGGTCCCCAAACCAAAGATGGCCGTGGGGCCTGGGATAACCCCGCCTTCTTCAAGCCTTCCGTCAGGTACCCTCCTACATTATGGATTTACACATGAATGTGCCCAGCGCTGGGAGTGACAGCCGCTTAACTACAGAAATTCTATTAGTTGCATTCTGGAAACGACTGCAGCACAGTACCCGTTGATGTGGCTGCCCTATGGTCAATGGTAACCGGCCTTGGATTTCCTGCACGCTGCCAGTCTTATTAATCCTATTTGTTTCCTGAAGCTGAACTGCACAAAGTTTACAAACAGGCTCAGATCAGCCAAGCAGCAGCTCGTTCTGACGGATTTCTGATGCTAACACACCAAGGTGCCGGCGGGAGCTGGACAAGGGGAGGGGGCTCAGGTTTCAGGCAGGCACACTGGCGGAGGGAGCTAAGGCAGCCCACAGTTAGGGCGCCAGGCCCATGCTAAGCACCGGGATACGGGCGTAAGTCAGACAGTCACCTGACATGGGGGCTCACAGTCCGGTGGAGGGACCATTAGATGAGCAGACAAATCACTAGACAATGTGATGTGATGACAGATACATGTATCCTCTTGTCCCTCGGTATCCACGGGGGCTTGGTCCCAGGAACCCATCCAGCCCTAACCCCCCCCCAACCCGTCCCGCCCCAACCCCTCCGATGCTGATTAAAAAAATCTACAGATGCTCAAGTCCCTTATACATAATGGTGTAGTCCAATCAACCCTTCATATCTGCAGATACAGGGCCTGCAGATACAGGGCCCACAGAAACAGAGGACTGACTGTATTATACACTACGGAGCACAGAGAAAGGACACTTCAGTGCCCCGAGGACTCAGGGAAGATTTCGTGAAGCGATAACAGCTGAAGATCTTGAAGAAAGATTCCAAGGTGACTTGGAGCAGAAATACAGGAAGGATGTTCTGAGAAAGTACAGAGTGTGCACACCTAGATAGGCTATTTATTCTTTGCCATAAGAATCACCCTCAGAGTAACAAGGGGTTACCTTGCAATAGCGTATGCCAGCCCCTCATTCTCTCTCTCGTGTTCATTCCAGTTGTTTGGCCCCAAAACTAATCTAAAATAGGATCACCCAGAAGGGGCCTAAGTTCTGTTTTTATACCAGACACAGAGATTTTCAGCCTCAAGTCTCCGGAGATCTAGGGACCTGAGGACTGGTTTTACAGCCCAGGTCCCGAAATTGCAGAACTGTTTCTCTCTGAGCATTTCTGTGGTGAGAGAATCCATGCCTCTCACCAGATCCCATCAAATTCCCCAGTGGATCCCACCAGGTTCAGTGACCAAAGCTGGCCACGTGCCTGCACTCCGGGCCTCCTGGTGAACCAAGCTAACCTGTGGGAAGAAGAACCCCATCCCTCTGCCTGGAGAGCTCCCTCTGCATTTCCAAGCTATAGGGAGAGAACGCGTTCAGTTTCAATACTGACTGATGCAGCCTACAATCAGACCAAACCCATCTGAAAATGAGGGAAGACGCACAACTCCCTTAATTTTCAGTGGAATAGAGCCTTTCAGAACTTCCTGAGTCACTGAACTGAAAACATGCTTCCAGAGTTTTTCTAAGCATTTAGAGAGTGCTCTGTGTCCAGCACTATGCTAAGCCCTTTCCACCAGCTGCCTCACTTAATTCAATCCGCACAACCACCTCTGATGATTACCATCATTGTCCCCATTTCAAAACTAAGTAAACTGAGGCCCTGAGTGGTAACGTCACTTTTCCCAAAAGGCAGCAGCCCCAGGACTACATCTCGGACCCTCTAACTCTTAGTCCAGTGTTCTCTCTGCAGCAACCCAGTCTCCCAAGATTTGTATCTAGTGACATTTATGGGCTTAGTGTTTCTGTAGCGCCAGTGAATCCCATGCAGCTTATAAAATCTGAAAACACACATATCTCGCTGGTGAAGGTAAAACTGCTGTATGGCAGGCAACTGAATCCCAGAAAACTATCTTGATGAAAATATCTATTGCCTAAGGCTGGAAAAAACAGTCTCAGTATTATTCTGAGAAAGGCCTGAGACCGTGCCCTCCTTCTCAGCACTTCAGAGATAAAATCGAAAGTCACCAAGTGGAGAGAGCGTCGTGACCAGGGGAGGGGGCCTGCTTTTAGGGAAAATGTAAGTTTGTGTATGTCTCAAGTACTCAGTAATTCTCCTCCTTACTCACCCCCCTGGCTCCCAAGTAACAGCAAGAGCCCTAACTGGCTTCAGGTCAATGGAAGGAATTCTGAGTAGGAATCAGGCAGCCTGGAAGCTTTAAGGCCAACTCAGCCTTGGTGGACTCGCTCCAGCAGGAGGAAAAATCAAGCACCATACACAGGACCTGCTGACCTCATAGGCGTCATCTGAGGAACAAATGCTGTCGTGGGTGTGAATGCATCTTTGAGAGCCAGAAAGTGCTCTCGGCTGACAGGTGGCTGGTACCACAGGAAGACGCAGATTAGCGTCCACCAGGCAGTCACCAAGCCTGGGACGGCTCTGCCTTCCTGGCAATGGTGGCTAACTTTAATGAACACCTATTATGTAGATTATCTCAGCTGTTTTTCACAAGAGTGAGGTGCCACTGCGGGTCTCATTTTCAGACAGAGAAATCCTAGGCATAGAGAGATGATGTAACTTGTTTCAGGTCGTCCTGCTACTCCGGGCTGAGCTGGGCTTTGAGACTGGCTGCCCGGCCCCAGGGGTCACGTGCTGACCACTACGCAACACTGCCCCCTACGCCCTTCCTCCACCCCCGTAAGCTGGCTGGTCGCAGAGGAGCAGAGGTTTCTCAGCCCTTTACTTCCTAAACTTGCTTCAGGTATGCACGTTGGATTGTCCGTCTGAACCCCCTCAAATCCCTTCCAGGGCTTCAACCTGCAGCTGGTCTGCGTTCTCTGTTGCCTCCTTCCTGTTACTAAGTATTTACTGCGTATCAGGTACCGACACTTACCGGTTTGTTTAAACTACAGCCCTGCAAGGAGGAGGCTGTTACTCCTCTTTAATAGACAAATAAACTTGCCCACCATCACACAGCTAGCAGGAAGGGAGGCTGGGATTTGAATACTGTCTATTTGATTATAGAGCACACCCTCTTTGCTTCTCTGCCACGGCCCCTCCGGAGCAAGGGCCTGGAGACCCCAACGTGAGCCAAGGGCAAGTCTACTCTGCTCCATCCTCTGGCCCTGCTTGGAGCAGGAGGAGAAATCGATACCCCTAAAGGGGGGACTGTTCCCACAGGAACCCACCAGAATCCAAAAGGAATGTTGGAGTGTGCTGCCTGACACTTAATTAGGCAGTAATATTTATTTCTGCAAATAGAGAAAGAAGAGCCTCCCACAGGCTTCCTTAGCAATTTTCAATAGTCAGTCAACTGAACTCCTCTGTACCTTCCCTAATAAATGAAACTGCAAATTATCACCATGCCCCACAGTTTCCTCTCCATTTCAGCCCCCAGAATATACCTGCTCACATATGCATCTTTGATGAGCACGTCTGCTCAGCCTGGCTGGGTGTGACTCAAAAGGGCGGCAGAGGTGGAAGTAAAAATGGTTCAGAAATGAGACAGGAGGCCTGCTTTCCTAGTAACTGCTCCTGCTAATTTGTCCTTTGGCAACACTGAAGGCAAGCACATCAGTGTTTTTTAAAAAAATGAAGCTGAGGTTAAAAAGTCTCCAACAGGTATCTGGATAAAAATGACTTCAAAGAAATGGTCTATATATTTGCGAAATGCAATCTCCCTTCAGACAAAAACCCTCTGCTCTTCCTTTGTGTGTCTTTGGGCGAAGTGTTTCTTGCTTATTTCATTTTTCAGAAAAGTTTCAGAATCCAACCAAAAGAGGATGAATTAAATGCTTGGATTCTGCTCAACTAGATATTAATTAAGGAGGGGGTCAGTCTTTTAGAACAAAAAGGCAACTGTAGGGATTTATTTAAATTTAAAAATAATTATGAATCTTTCCAGGATTTGATAGAAGCAGTTATTAGCCTCATTTTTAAAATGAGAAATAAATTGGACGATTTTTTTTTAATGTATCGGCATTACAGTGAAGGGTGTAACCCAAACCCCATTTCTGCCATATACTGACTTTATGACCATGGGAGAGTTACTTCACTCGACCAAAGTTTAGATTCCCCTCTGTAAAAATGGGGAAAACAGCAGTCAAGCATCATATTTCTCACAGTGCCCGGCACACGCAGTTCCTCAGTGAATGCTAGTCATTCTTCGGTCGAGTGCAGCAAAACGTGCCTGAGCTGCAGGCCCTCGGGCTACAGCAGAAGACCAGATCAGTGCTCACACCCTCACCCTACTGTGCCGTCTGATCACCTACTGTGGCCTAAGAGGAACATTTGCCCACGCCAAAACTTCTGCTGAGAGCTGATTGTATCTTCAGCTGAGTATTCGGAAAGGAGAAATTGAAAAGCAAAACCCTCCCACACACTGGTCACAACTGCTGACAACCTTAAAGGGAATGTAAGCAAACAAATGTGAACACACATGACAAACATTGTGCAGGACATATGCTGTATAAATATTTATAGCTGTGTGCTTTGTATTCTTGAATACACTCAGCCGGCCCTCTGGAGACCAATTTGCGAAGAAGGCTTTCCACCAGAATGTCTGGCTGAGCGCTGGGGCGTCGGATTAAGTGCTGCGAATGTCTGTTTTGAGGACATCCTGAGTCCTCACACCAGCCCGAGGCTCTGTATTGATCCTTTTCCTTGCCATGAATTTTGCCTGAATAAACCAGCTCAGGTTTCAGTGACAACAACATTTAGCTGCTAAATGCTAACCTATACACTGAGGCCAAGCCAAAAAAACAAGCAAAAGAAGAGGTCACGAAAGGAAAGGGACAGACACTGAAAAGCTAACCGTTCTGGTGTAAAGAAATAACACCACCACGTCCTATTACGGGCGACTGTGCCAGGCAAAGCTCTCAAGGTGGAGATGACATCACTCAACATCACCCTGAAGGCATCTGGCATTCAGGGGGCAGGAGAGGGAACGGGGAGAGCAAATCTGTATGAGCAGAGACACGCGAGGGGGGCCCTGTCCCCCAGAGCAGCGGCGGGGTCCCTTACAGGCAGCGTTTTGCCATCCTCCGTGCACACACACATGATCACTTCCACGTTCCTCTGCGTGGTCTTGTTGTACTTGTCAAAGTCGCCTTGTAAGAGCGTGATGTAGATGTCGTTCCTGACGTCCCCTGAGGCAGAGGGAGAGAGAGGCGAGGGTTGGAGCCTGTGCCGCAGGAGAGACACTGACTGCCGGGAGGGCGCGGGGAGTGGGGGAGTTGGAGGAAGCGCCCCAACCTTGACTGACGTCTGCTAATGAAGTTAAAATCAGAACTTCCTACTTGGGAAAGCATTTTCACCTCACCCGGGAGGCTGGGGCGGTAGGTTAACTAGGGGATGGAGGAACACTGGGAAGTTAGTTGCAGAAAGGGAGGCAGGATGGTCACAACTGGCTGGCCATGTTTCTCTGTCCATTAAAGTCATTTAATTTTCATCCTCTAGTGACACCTTCTGGGAAGGCAAAGGAAAGCTCCAATTGAATTGATCTTGGTGCATGAATCACAACCACAGACCGTGATCTCCACAGATCTTTTACCGTGAGGAAGCAGACAGAGTGATTTTCTGTGTGTGTCCAGGTAACACGGGGTCAGGGACGAGGTGTGGAGGGCCTTCAGGAATGGGCGTGACAACTCAAACTCCTACAGGGGAGTGCACAAGGGACTGACGTCTTGGGTAAAGCAGGCATAAGTAAATTACCACACAGGCCTCCAGTGGACCACCACTGAACTGGGGCCAGCTGGGGTAGGCCAGTGAGACTGGCTATGGACACACATCCTAGACTTGAGTTTAAGGCGAAAAGGGAAGTTTCAGAAGAGCGCTATTATCCAACCTCATTTATTTTCTTTTATTACACAGACACTTGGAAAATATGTGTAGTCGTGGTTACTTCTGGAGACAAAGATTTGAGAGAGCTTTTAACGCTTCACTTTATACCTTTTCGTGCTATTTGAACGTTTTAAAATGAGCACGGACTCTATTGATAATAAAAAAAATCTTGCCAATTTCTGGGGTGATGATATTCACCCCAGAAAGAGTAAAATTATTCCACATGTAGTAAAGTAGAAAGGATGTCCACGATAAATTATTAAGTGATAAAGTGAGCTGCAGAAAACTATGCAAAGTGTATCAAGTAATGGTACATAAAGTATATACAATGTGACTCCATCTGTGGGGTGGGAAGTGCCCGTGTGTATATTTATGTGTCTGTGTTTATTATGCGAATGCACAGAAGATTTTTGGATGCACAATTGTTTTCAGCAGTTATCTTCAGGGAGAGAAATAGAGAAAAGCAGTAGAAAAGGAAGGAGTTGACTCTCTTCAGAGAAAATGGATCCACAAGCTAGACTACCCCCCACCCCGCCCCGGGGGGAAGGAAGACCTGGCATGATGATCTCCGGGAAGCCCAGCTTCCTGGCCACCACGGTGGTCCTGTCCACCAGGTGCGGGTAGTCCTTGCGGATCTGAATGATGTCACCCACGAGCATCTTCATGGTCACCCAGAGGCCTGGAAGGGAACGTTCACAGTGAAGAGCCTACTGCTCCAAGGTGTCCTCTCAGCCTCGCCCTCCCACCATCTCCCCCTCGTCTCCCTCTGGAGGAGACCACAGAAGCAGAGACAAGCAACTGCAGATGCAGTGAGCCAGCCCCAGCGGAGGACGGAAGGCGGGATGCAGAGGGGCTCCGGAGTGAGACACCTCTGGTTTGAATCCCACTGGTCACTTCTAGCAGGATCAGCTTCTGTCAAATCATCACACCCCTCTAAGCCCAGCCTTTGTAAAGTGAGGCTGATACCATCCATCTCACAGGACTGTGGGAAGGATGAAATCACACGAGGAAACATTTTCCAGTGCCTGACACACGGGAGACACTCAGGATACACCAATTCCTCTCTTCCTTCAGGCACGAGCACATGCCTCCCTTTTGCTTCCATGTAGAGATGTGGTTTCCACCCCTGTGGATCACATGCCCCCATTCTTCACAACGGCCTGTCTGGAAGGAAGGGTATGTTTCCCAGGGTTTAGGAATTTATCTGTTTGCCACAGAATCAAGGGATCTCAAGCTGCAGGCAGGCCCAGCCCGCATGGCCTCTTGGCACTGTACCTTGCCCTCCGCTGTCGCCCTTGGAGGCTGTGACTTTGCCCAGCAGGCTGTGTAGGAAGTCATTCTCAGCTGTCACCCTGAAAAGGAAGAGAGAGCACAAAATGCTTGCATGGTACCCCCTTGGGGTTCCTACCTTGTGGTTTCAGGGGCTCCAGGAAGCTGCCCAGCCCGTCCATATGTCTTAGGGGAAAAGTGAACCTGCCTATGTCACCCCAGAGAGCACATGTGCCATCAAGAAGCATATCTCTCTTTTTCACAAAGAAACACGGCTCTGAAATTTGGGGAATGCCAATGCTACAAGTAGAGACCATTTTTTATTCCTAGGAAGACTCTTAAAAAGGAAGGACTCCCAAGCCCTCAAAACAAGTAACTGCTCAGCAAGGTGGCCATGGCTTTAGCTGCTCATGCTAATCACATGGCCTTAATCAGAGTCACTGACCTCATTATCTGTAACAGAACACCATCCTCCTTAGACAAAATGAGAACAGTGTTCTCAGACTGGGGGGCCTGCTTCCTCAAACTTTTTTTAGATCAAGGAAAGGACATTTACCTTCCTCACTACCCTCCTCTCAAGTCATGGATATTTCTGCCCGCGGGAACCAGGTCTGGATTCCCTGTTTTATGCTCCTGATACACTGCTAGTAACCTGTCATACTTGTAACTGATGCATTGATCTTTTCTTGATGACCTGTTTAATTTCCCATCGAAATACAAGCCCCATGAAGACAGGGCCGCGTCTACCTTGTTTACCACCTTATCATGCCTAACACAACGCCCCGCCCGCTGGCAGCCTTCAATCAAAGTCTGTTGAATAAATAACCTTGAGGAATGAATGGGTGAAAAGCTGGCTGGTTTCGAATGCTTCTGAGACCATGACTCTCGTCTCGCTCTCCTCTTGGGAGGTGCTACCTGCCTATCATCAGTTCAGGGAACCAGCCCACCCTGCTCTCAAGCAGCCCTCAGTCAGAAAGGGTGCGGTGCAGGGGAACGGAAAGAAAGGGGCCATCCTCACGGGTGAAAGGGGATGAAGTGCTGCTTCTCTTCATCGCTCTCGGCTTTCCCCTTGATGATGTCTGTTATATCCATAACTAGAAAGAGAAGAGAAATGAATTAATGGCTTACGCTCTCCTGCTCCCAGGAAGGGATGACAGTGGGCTGAGACTGTAGGGCAGGAGGCTGGGACAGGAAAGCCTGAAAAGGCCTGCCAGCCAGCATCGGACAGCACGCACACAGCAAAGGCAGCACCGGGAAACGCCACTGGGCGCACCGCACTGGGATGTCAGCAGCCAGGGGAACATCCAGGCACCCAGGGCTTAGCAGAGGCCAAGAGGAAAGAGTAAGAGCTGTGCCTACGGAATGAAGCAATTAGGCTCGGATCTGACATACCTGTACTGGAGGTCCACTGTGCCAACAAAACCCAGGTGCAGTGACTTTCTGTGGGATCTGAAAATCTACCCCCCACTCTTTTCATAACGTGCTCATATGCACAGACACGTATCTGTGGATCCCTGAACCCTGCATCTCCAGAGGGATCCTGAATCTTATGAAACTTCTTAAGTCAGCCACTAAAAGCCCATAAAACCAAGGTGACGAACTCTTGCACTAGAGCTGGGATTACAGAAATCGGGGGGAGGCACTGAGACCTGCTAGCCAAATAGAGCCAAACCTCTGGTCACATGAAATTCCTCAAGCACTCCAGGCCCTGGTCAGGGAACCACTGAAACTGCGTGGGAAATAATCAACTGACTGCAAGCTCAAGAGGGGAGTTAGGGAGTTGAGAGAAAGAGGAAGAACTGTTATTTGAAGCTGAACAGCTTCTATTCTTTGTGATGAACAGACCTCCCTCGACCACTCTCAGTGAGCATGATTTGGACAGGCCAACCTCCCTCTGGCTCCAGCGTTGTTTACGTGGCCTGGAGGACCACAGAACCACAACCCCTTGCCCAGAACAAGCGCTCTGGGGATGAGCACATGACCTATATTTCAGCTCCGGGGGCTTCTGCTAAAATTAATGGGAAAGACGTGCCCTCTTTCCCTGGACTGCTAAACTGGAAGGCTGCAAGCTTGGAAGAGCTGGCCGTTACTTTGCCAACTAATGAGAACGATTAGTAAGCCTCAGATGGCAAAGCGTTCCCGTCCTTGTATGTCTCATACCTCAGTATCTAATGGTTTAATGGCTAACTTTGGTTTGTGTCTCCAAGTTAAGGGCTTGGATGTGGTGTAATTGTCCTTAAAAGAAATAAAATGGTTCTGCTGATAAGAAAAAAAAAATCTTCAGAATAAGCCAACAAGAGGACACAGATGCTGAGAGGTAGAGAGATGTAAATTCACTTGAGTTCCTGGATCCAGCTATGCCTGAAGCAATCTATCCCTGATCCTTTCAGTTATACCAGATTTGCTGTCACCTGAAACCAAAAGAGAGAACCAACTACACTTGGAGACAAAGACACATTTTGCGGTAAGGCTGACGGACCCTCACTGCCTTAAAAGGGACATTGTGAGGTCAGCAGTGTCGCTCATACAGAATCAAAGCATTTAGAGCAGGTCATGGATCAACCAGGTCCAAGTCTCCCATTTTACAGATAGTGAAACTAAGGCAGCGGGGAAAATGTTTTTCCAAGATCGCCTAGCTAGCTAGCTAGCAATAACGCCAAGCTGAAACAGCAGTTCGCTCAGTATAAGCTAACTTCTTCCACTCCACCACCTTGCAAGCACTGCTGGGGACTAGTTGGAGAGCCAGCTGGTTTGTGATGACAGAAGATCAGGGCACCCTGAAGTGGGAAACCTGAAACACTGGGTTTAGATAGGGCACACAGGCATTGGAAGTGGTACACAACCGAACTGTTACATTTTAATAAGAAGAAGTAAAATTGGTATATCAAATTGCTATTTCCACACGTATCCAAATTTTCTTTTAAGAAAAAAAAAAGTACTTTAGTTTAAATACAGTGGGTTAATTAAAAGAAAATATATTAGGCAAGTAACAGTGCAAGTGACAGTCAAATATAACAAAAACCATAGAAGTGGGACAGGAATGATGAAGTCTTGGAAAATCCCAAGAGAGCTAAGGCTTGGAGAAGGATGCAGAGGTGATGCGGCCCTGAAGCGGCCTCGCTCAGTCACACCAACTCTCCGAACGTCTACTTCCATCTGAATTTCGATGGGTGGTGGGTGACTCATTCAGTGTAACTGCGTTTCCTGTCGTAGTTTTTTTTTTTTTTAATGATTTGCTCCTCGTAATTAGATCCCACCCGTTTGTTCCTCGTTTTTCACCGTGCTGGGGAGTGAAGGCACCCCCCGCTCAGACTGTGCCGTGGTCCCAACGCTCTGCTCCAGACGCGGGGATTTCATTATTCACTGTCTGCATTATAAACCTGGACTTAGTCACCAATCATTTTGACTTAGACACCAGAAATGTAGGAATTAAGGGCTGTCTGGCATAATTTGGGGTTGGCGGGAGGGCAAGGAAGAGAAAGGGGAAAAAAGTCTTCAGAATTCAGTGGTATCAAACGTGTGCTCCAGTAACAGCTAGTGTTGAGTGGTCTGCCCTTACCTGCCACCCCAAAGGGCCGCCTCAGACCCTGCGTGCACTTCTTTGTGTTCGTATCCTTAAGATCCATCTTCCCAACTCGGACTATTTGGCAAATCAAGTAAATTTTATCCCTGTTGAGGTCTTTGTTTCCAAGATCCTGTAGGGCAAGAAACCAATAGTTACACATCATGTGTTTAATGGAAAAAAAGTAGAAAAGGAAACACGGTGATAGGAAATTCTGGGTGTGGGGGTGTGTGTGTGCTTAGCACTTAGTGTACATGGGCCAATCATACAGGCAGTCCTGGGAAAGGTGGAAAACAAAGCTATCGCACCCACTTCACACGTAAGGAAGGTGAGTTTTGGAAAGGAAACTGAGTGACAGGACTCTGATGTTCAACCTTGATTCTTCCACCTCAAGCTGATGGGAAGAGAAGGAGGGAGGGACAGTATCAGTTATACGGGCAGGAGTCCCTGTATGCCAGCTGATGGATCCAGACTACAGGTGACTCCATCCAACTGGTCACTGCTCAGCACCTCTGAGGGAGAAGGCAAAGGGGAGAGGGGAGAGTCCTGAGAATAATAATTACCATTTACCGAGTACCTAACATACTTATATCACTCAGGGCTGCCTTGCTGTGGCATCAAACAACCCCTACATGCCGGAGCTGCTAACACAACAGACGTTTACGTCCAGCTCAGGCTGCAGGTCCAATGCAGATGGTGGGGGCTCCACTCACTCACTCTGGATGGATGATCTATCTTGTCATAAGAGGTGCATCCACTGTCCCCACGGCTGGGGAAAGGAACAGGGCAAATCACTTACTGGCTCTTAACGCTTAAACCCAGAAGAGACACGCATCACTTCTGCTCAATCTCACTGGCCAAATCAAGGCGCATGGCCACACCTAACTTTAAGGGGGACAGGGGAGAGCACTCGATGGTGTGCTCAGGAGGAGGGACGCTGAAACTAGTGAACTACACCGACGTCTCAGGCACTGTGCTAAGTGTCTCCCACGTCATCTTCCTTGACAACTCTCTGGAGTACTGTTATCAATATGACTACTGCAGCCCCATTTTACAAATGGGGAAGCTGAGACACAAGGAAGATAAGGGGCTTCCCCAAGGTCATGACTTTAGTCCTTGGAGACACTGTCCGGTCACTCTGACCCCAAAGTCCATAAATCTAATTGCCACAGTACATTTCTTTCACCATCCAAAGGCACACGGGAGGGAAAACCACTTGGGCCTCCTCAGCATCTGACTGCCCTGCTCAGATCCAAAAGCTTCAGTGTTCCTGGGAACCCCTTCCAGTTGCAATCAGCTGGAAAAGGAACATCAAGGCATGTTGGCGGTAACAGAGCCCGACCTCACTAGAGAAGAGTTGCTTCTCTTCTGAGTTAATTCTCATGCTGGCATATGCACTGGGAACAGCCTGACATGAGAGCCAGGGCCGGAGTAAAGCAGGCGTCCCCCACCTCTCACTGTGGCTGGTGTGGCAGGAAGAGGCCCGGGGTGTACAGAGCCTCTGGGAACAAGACATAGCCTCAATGTGGGTCACACCTTCCTGCCAGGAGGCTGTGGTGGTTAAATTTTGTGTCAACCTGGATAGACTATGGTGCTTAGCTTCCTGATCAAACATGAGTCTAGATGCTGGTGGGAGGTATTTTGTAGGTCTACTTGGCACCTAGAGTCAGCTGACTTTAGGTAAAGAACATTACTTTCCATTATGCTGGTGGGCCTTGTCCAACTAGTTGAAGGTCTTAAAAGAAAAACCTGAGGTTTCCCAGAGAAGAAGGAGTTCTGCCTCAAGACTGTAGTATAGAAATCCTGCCTGGGTTTCCAGCCTGCTATCCGACCCTACAGATTTTAAACCTGCCAGCCTTCACAACTGCACGAGCCAAATCCTTAAAATAAATCAATGTATTTATATATCTTATTGATTCAGTTTCCCTGGAGAACATTCACTGATTCAAGGGCTATCCTTTCACCAGCTCAAGGAATGGATGGCTGCTCCCCCATTGCCCAAAGTCTCTCCATCGGGCAGAGAGAGAGGGAAGGTAGGGGAAGAGGGGGCTTTCTGACCAAGGAGGCCTCTCCACTCATCTGCATTTCCTGCCTTGCCCCGTAGGCAATGGACTTTGAGATTCTGGTGATCTCACGTCCAGATGATGGGATAGCCTCTTTTCTGGCCTGCCTGAGTTCTTTCGCCAACTCACCTTGAAAGCCCCCTGAAACTCATCTTTAGAAGCCACGTTCATTATTTCATTTCTCTCCTCAACAATGTTAACAGCTCCCTATTTCCTATCCTGTTACTGCTCATCTTCCCCGGCTGACGTGAAAGTCAGACATGATATATTTCCAGCTGTCCTATCCCCCTGATTCCCCACTATTCTCAGCATGTAAGTACTCTATTTTTGTCACAAAGATTTCTTTATTGCTCCACAAGCACACAATGCTCACTTTCAACTCTGGATCTTTCTTCCAAAGCGCCCCCCTCATCTGAACCTCCACCTCTAAAGGCTTACCTCTTAATCCTCTGTATGTCCAAATCCTTTCCATCCTGAAAAGCTGAAGTCTCGCTTCCCTCATCATGACCTCTATCCCTAATTACTTCTCTCCTCCAGGATTTTTCATACTTTCGACATGCCTAGATTGGTATCTTTCAGAGGCATTCCAGAGCCACAGAGGCCTTGCCACCTGACAGGTGTCCCTACCTATATGTCATGGGATGAATTATGTCCCCCGCCCTGCCACTGCCCAGATTCTTCATGTTGAAGTCCTAACCCCCATCTCTTTGACTGTATTTGGAAACAGAGCCTTTAAAGAGTGGACTAAGCTAAAATAAGGTCATTAGGGTGTGCTCTAATCCCACATGACTGGTGTCCTTATAAGAAGAGGAGTTTAGGACAGAGACACAGAAGGAAAGTCATGTGCACATGCAGGGAGAAGGTGGCCATCCACAAGCCAAGGAGAGAGGCCTCGGGAGAAACCAACACTACCAACACCTTGATCTTGGACTTGCAGCCTCCGGAACCGTGAGAGAATAAATTTCTGTTCTGTGGCAGTCTGTACTGACAGTCCTAGCAAATGAAATAAGGTTTGTAGGTGACAGACACAGATAAATGTGTAAGGTTTCCAGGTAAGCCCCCATCCCACCCCTCTTATCTGAAAAAATTTCACTCGCTCAAAGGAAGACACTAGATCGTTAAAAGCTGCCCCATCAGAGACGCTTGGTACCAGAGACACTTTAAGGATACTAAAGTGAGCAAAAACGCTTGCACACAGGCTGTTCTCCGGAGGGCAGGTAAACGGGCCATCTCAGAACCAGGCTTCCGTGTGTGCCCCCAGTCGTTTCTACTTTGGCCTCACGTGTTGGGAGAAGCTCAGGCAGGACCAGGAAGCTTGAAACACATGTCCCCTGATGTAATAATTCACTAGTTCTCCTTCTGTCATTCAGTTTTGTTCCCCAGTGTGCCAGCAGCGACCCCCAAGCTTAGGGGACTTTTTTTTTTTTTACAGGGCCAAGGAGGGTGAATGCTTATAAAGGAGACAGAAGGGAAACCCACCATCGCCCAACCCACGTGCCAGCTCCTCAGGCTCTGCCCCTAAAGGGGAAACTAGGAAGAGTTAACATCCAGAGGCAAGAGAAATGAGGCCAGCAAGGCACGTGCCTGCCAAGTCTCCTCTCTCGCTTAGACATCACCTCGATGCCCAGCTGAAAGTAATGCCCAGCCAAACGCCATCACGTCACCCTGTTTTAATTAACCTGCATTGCATGGCTTGTCTTCTGACATCTCTCTTGTTTTTATTCATTGAATTATTTTCTGAATCCCACCCCCCATCACATCCTGAGAGCAGAGGCCTATCAGCTTATTTGCTGCTGAATCCCCAGCACGTAGCACAGAGCTCACACACAGTAGGTACTCACTGGGTAGCTCGTTTGCGTGTTTGTTTTTGGTGAGGGAAGGTCATTAGGTTGTTTACTTACTCTCTGAGGAGGTACTGGGGATTGAACCCAGGACCTCATGCATGCTAAGCATGCGTTCTACCATTTTGAGCTATACCCTCCCCGCCCCCATCGGGTAGCTCTTGGATCAATAAAAGAAGCTCGAGCACCATGAGCTTCCTTGTCCCAAAATGAAGACTGCCATCATTTTAAGACAGGGAAGCGTCAGCCTGTGGAGCCAGACAACCAAGGTTCTTGAGCTCATTTGCTGTGGGAAGAAGAGGTGGTAGCACGGGCAGAATTCCATGAAGGCAGGATCACGCTCTCATTACTATGGAGAGACACAAATTTACTGATGCCCTTTTCCATGTGTTTACATCATGAGCTGGTTCTCTGCAAAATGAACCACTGATTGATTCCCTGTCCCTCTCCCTCTCGTGAAACATCTGTCTCCTGGTTTAACTAGGAAGCCCCGTGAGACTCTCTTATTTATCAAGAAAATAGCTAGGCTCCTCCTTCTAACTAATAATAGATAAACAGCATCGAGGCACATTCATACATGCCAAGAAAACTCTGTCTAAGCAATTAGGATCTATGATCTTATTCCACTGCCTCTGGCCCATTTTTCCAGGAAGTAACAAACAAAATAAATCAGCCGCACTCCAATCTAATTGTAACATAACATAAGACACGGAACTTAATGGGCTGTAACTGGAAAATTATTGTAGAGCAACGTAGGTTAATCTAGCATGTCGGTCACTCCTGGATCAAACCCACCAGTCTGATCAATGCCCAAATCTCTCCCTGGCTCCTCCTCTGTAATCTCCCTTGCTAACACAGGCAACACAGTGAAAACTCTCATAAATGTTCTTCACCCCGAAGCTGCCTGCAGGAAACACCAACAGCCTTCGATATCATAAGATCATACACTCTGAACACACCCTTGTGGGAACAGGACAAGAGAACGGTTTCTGCTGGAAAAGATAAGACTTATCTTCTTTTTCCCACTGTTTCTTTTTTTCTAGAGCTCAAGAGCCAGCTTACTCTTGGAAATAAATCATCCAAATTACAATTGATTTTAACATTTCTACATATGTCCTGCCCAGTGAACACTGGTATTTAGAAGGATGATCCCAGGGACCTGCAAGATCTTCAGTCGTCTGTGACTTAATTATGTTCAGAATATCCAATGTGCCAAGGCAGCCAGTGTTCTAGGAAGGCCTTTTTTTCAATCTGATGTATTTTAGAAAGGTTTTTAGAAGGTCTAAACCAAAGACAGGAAATCAGATTAACCAGGAATTAACCAGAAAATCACAACAGATGCTGTACCCAGCTCACCTGGACATTACTGCTGGAAGACATCATTGTGCTAGTTTACACAGCACTCTGCGCTGTGTGCACATGAGAGAGAAAGAGAGAGGGAAGTGGGGAAGAAAGAGTGAGGAGAAGGTCCAGCTTCCCAAAAGCCTCCTCAGGGCACACGATGCCCTCTGTCTCCTCTGAATCTTTGCAGAGAGGCCAGAACCCAGCTCTGCACCAAGGCCACACTCCCTCCTGACCGACTGACCAGCCTCATCTCCAAGGACATGAGTGTGGGACATGGTCCCTAGAGGGCAGTGCACACCTACCGTGAAGACCACCTTCAGGTTGTTGAGCATCTCGATCTCCTTTGGGAAGCCCCTGCTGCCCCATCGCACCAGGTAGTTCTCGCTGTGGGAAGAGGGATGGTGAGCCATTACTGCCAGGGGTCTCAGCCGTCATTCAGTAAAAATATTCACTGAGTCTCTGCTGTGTGCCTGACACCATGCTGGCCGCTGGGCACACATGAGTGATTGAGACAGACTCTCCCTGTCTGTCCCTCCCTCCAAGAGACCACGTCCCAGTAGGGAGACAGACGTTAGACAAGCAGGAGCAAGGAATTACTAATGTGTACTCACAACCTCCTTCCCTCTACCTGCTAAGCAAATTCTAACCCAGCTGCCTAATATGTTCGAAGAGCGGCAGCATTCTCTGTAGAGGTGATAAAGAGTGGCAGAGGTGAGAGGGAAAGGATTTTCATATGTTTTGCTGGACATTAAGAATTTATTTGCCCTTTCCACCCTACACTCCTTTCAAGATTGAGTGAAGATTTGAATTATTTTAAGTTAATTATCCATTGGAGGTAGGACCATTTCCTTGAATGGAATGTCACACGTTGATGGGCCATGGGGGGCCTTATTAGCCATTATGTGAGATACACTTAGGTGATGATTTAAATGCAATCGTGACAAGTATTTATATGCAACTGTGCTATAAATAAAAAGTTTAGGATGCTGTGAGAATGGATAGCAGAAGAACCAGGCCTAGTCTTTGCTGAGGATATGCCATGTAAATAAAGTTGGTCAGGAAAAAGAGATGCGGAAAAGGGAAATGTTTCAGGCAAAGCATTTGTGCGTGCAAAGGCCCTGAGGCAGGTTGGAGCTTGCTGCATCTGAAAAAAAACAGATCCAAGGGGAAAGTGGTAAGAGAAAAATTCCAGAGATGGGCCAGAACATGTAGGCCTCATAGGTCATTTAAGGATTTTGACTTGACCCTAATAGGAGTGAAAACCCATTGAAGGGTTTTATGAGGGACAGTCACACAGTTCTGACATCTGGTCATTTATCATCTCACATCTTCTAGCAACCATCCCACAACCCGTGTGGCTCACGCTAGTCAGGCTAGCTGTACCAGCATCATCAAGACGTCCAGCCCTTCTATACCGTAGGGGAAGCTTAGTACAGTTTGCTGAGCTGAGTCATCAGGTTTTCCATGCCATCCAGGAGCCTAGAATTGGTTCTAAACAAATGCCCATTATATTGAAATAAGATATAAACAAAATAAATCTCAAAAACCAAGTCAGCCCAAAAAGGCATAATAAGAGAATTCGGCAAAGTTAAGGGGAACTGCCTTGTTTTTAGAGGTCTGTTCTCTTGATGTCCTGTTCTCCTCCCTTCGCTCACCCCTAAAAGACTAATGAGAGCAGCCTGAGCAGAGTTCAACGGGGAATTGGGACTTGCAACAAAAAGAACACACCGTCCCAGATTAACCAACAGTTAAAATTTAATTAAGTTCAATGTACTTTTTTTCCCCAGTAAGGTCTAAAAGTTGTAGTGGAATTTGCAGCAAACTAGCCAAGAAACCACCAACGCTTCATCCAAAAAAAAAAAATTTTGTTTTAAGTTATTTCCCATTGGTTATTTCTGGACTGTCATAGTGAAACACCTGGGTATTTCCCAGGACTTTTAATCACATGCAGCATACCAGGCTAGGTCTAAACCATAGGCACCAGCAATTTTCTTCTAGGGGAAATGGAATCATAAATAAGAAAAGCAATTTAGAGAGCTGAACTGGCCCCATCCATCCTTGCCCAGGAAGACCTAGGTGGTGAATCTGAAGGCCCACCTGGCACCAAGACAGGCTAGACCTCCTCCACATGACACCCTCCTCAGGGGGAAGAGGAGAACCGCTCCAACTGCCTCGAGTTCTTTCTGGAAATTAACCTTGTCACTGGCCCAATGCCTGAGCTGCTTCTTTTTTTGTCCTACAAAAATTTAAAGCGTCCCAAATCAGATCTCTCCAGGCATCCATTGGAACTGGATCATGATTCATCCCAACACTGAGAGGTCAGTCCCAGGCGAATTCTCCCCAGTCCACATCTGGGTCATACTGAGGATGCCTTAACTTGCCTGTGGCTCCCTGCATGCACACCCTGGCTAGGGCCAGGCTGGAACAGAGAAAACTGGTTTCTTGGGAAAGAGCAGCTACCCAGAGTCAGACTGACATGGGGAGAGTGTCCAAGTTCCCCTGCCCCTTTCCTGTATCACGCCTCTTCTCTTCTTTCTTTGTTTTCTACTCCTTTTTCTTTTCTTATTTTTTTTTTTTGCAGGGGGTGGGGCAGGGAGGAAGGAGGGGTTCTGCTCCTTTGTCCCCACTTCTCATCTCTCACTCTCTCGAGGGCTTCCCTGTGTCTCCGGCTCTCTCTTTCCCTCAGAGGGAGGCACCGCTCAGCCATGCCCCATCGAGCGCATCATCCCGTGTGGCACCTCGGGGAGCAGAGCTGCCATTTCACTGATCCATGGCCTCCCTCCACAGAGCTGGCTCAGGCCATCCATCACTTAGATGAGCCAGCAGGCCAGGCACCTTTGTCAATTCGACCATGAGGAATCCTGGTGTCTTCTGAGAGGCAGAGAGCACTTTCAGGATCTTTGCCGCCTGAGGAACAGCTGACAGGGAATGGCAAGGGGCCTAGACCATCTCAAGGTGGGTTCTAAGGGAGCAGGAACACTTGTTCACCGTGTCTGCTGAGGTCTAGCCAGGTGAGCTGGGCTGATTCTTTAATTTTAGGGATTTAATTTGCTGTAAAGAATAGCTTTCCACCATCACAGTGCTAAGACTCTGGTGAGGACCATTCAGGATATTTGATACAACTCTCTCCTTGGTGACAGACTCAAGCGGGAACTAGCTTATCTTTAGAGTCAGACGGACCTGCGTAGAAATCTCAGCTCTGCTGCTTATGAATATATGTGACTTTGGGCAAGTCACTTGACCTCCCCGAGCCTCGCTTTCCCATGCAAATCACATGGAGCAATGAGGATTACATGAGGTCACGCACAGACCTCAGTTCAGCCTTCCTAGATGGACAGCTCCTCGATGGTTCATAAATGTCTCCAGGAGAGCCATTATTTTCTAAAGAGAATTTCTATTCACTAGGAGCTTTATGTTTTCTCATTTAATCATCAAAACAGCCAAGGTGAGGAGACATCACTTTCTCCATAGAAGCAGAGGGGAAGAGGTCCATTAATTGGGATCTCAAATATGGGACCAAGTGTTGGCCCAAAACCCCACTGGAGGGGACAGGCAGTGGTCACCTGGGAGGAAGGATGGACTGAGCCACAAGCAGAGGCCAGTGCTGGCAGTGGAGGCTGGAGGTCTTCTCCCTGGAGATTCCCCAAAAATGTTTTCCCTTCCTTGAGCTGAAGCACCTGCAAGCTCCCTTACTTTTATAATAATAATAATAATCATGGTCATAATAATAATCACTGCCACTTAGAGCACCATGCAACAGGCCTTGTGCTTCATGTGTTTTTTCTCATTTAAGTCTGAAAGAGATGACCTTATGAGGTTGACACTTACATTTTTCAAATTAAAACTCAAGCTTAAGAAAGATGAACCACTTGCCCGAGGTTAAGAAAGAGTCAATGGCGGTGAACCCGTGTAGACTTCAGAGCCCACATTCTTAGCCTGTTACTGCCACTGAAGATACGGTGTTTTCACCATTCATTTCTTAACTCTTGTTTAAAAAGTAGGTATTTTTATTCTATCCAGTGGTACCTGTCTGAATCTTGTTATTTCTGGTTGGTTTCCAGTAATCAAAAACCTGCTTATAAAACCCTACTGTGTAACCATAACCCTGCTGTGAGGGGGAAAAAAAATGTGGTGTTAATATTTCCACCTGACTCTCACACCCTAAAAGAAGTTATTTCCACATTCTCAGTTGGGCTCAGCTTCTCTACTGGGTGGGATTTCTCCACAAGGGATGGTGGAAGGAAAAGATGCTCTGAGCTCTGCCAACTCCAACCTCCCAAACACAGAGAAGTCAGGCAATATGGAACACACTTACCTGATGACCATTTGCTTGTTGGGGTCATAGAGAGACATGAAGAGCTCAGCATCTTCCCCGATTCTGCACACAAAGTTTCTCACAAAAACATAGAGGCTGTGGGTGGGGGACGAGGAGATCCGGGAATACATTCCATAATCGGGCTGATCTTTTGACTGAGAGGTGGAAGGAAAAAGGGAGTAGGATGCAGAACATTAGCCCAGCACCACTTAGGACAGCAGAAAGGCGGCCCAGGATATGAAGAATCAGGTAGGTTTCAATCCTGAAGACTTCGGTATTATATTCAGGTCTACCACCCAAAGTTTCTGTTGTCTGAGCCAAGCCACTTTGACTCTCTTGGCCTCTTTCTTGGAAAATAACCAAAAATGACCCAGCCTTCCTCATAGAGTTAGTGTCATTAAAAGTACAGCACAAACTAGAAAAGACAAAAGTGTTTAAACAGACTTCATCAAAACCAAAAAATTTGCTTTTTGAAAGACACATTTAAGAAAATGGAAGGCCAGGTACCGAATGGGAGAAAAATATACCTGCAAAACATACATTTGGTAAATAATTTGTATCCATAATATACAAAGAATTCTTACAACTCAATGATAAGAAAATCAACCCAATTAAAACAGACAAGGTATTTGAACAAACAATTCACCGAAAAAAAGATACAAATGGCGAAGGCCAGTGAGCACAGGAAGAGATGTTCAACATCACTAGCCATCTGGGGACATTCAAAACAACAGTGAGATACCACTACACCACCACAAGAATGGCTAACATTAAAAGACTGACAATACCAAGCGTTGACAAGAATGTAGAGCAACTGACACTCTCCTGTGTTGCTGATGGGAGTGCAAAATTGTACAGCCATTTGAGAAACAGTATGGCAAGCAGTGCCTTAAAAAATTAAACATACATTTATCATATGATTATTACCGCCCAAATGTGCAGCAATTGATCAGTGATATATATCATTGGCAACTGGTCAATGGTGTAGCAACTCACGAATGAAAAGGAAGAAAACATTCACACACACAACAACATGAACCTCAAAAACATGACGCCTAGTAAAGTAAGTCAACCACAGAAACCAAATGATTCCATTTACATGAAACTCTAGAAAAGGCACAAGTGCAGTCGCAAAAGGCAAATTAGGGGTTGCCTGGGGCTTGGGGTTGGGAAAGGGGATTGACTGTAAAGGAACTCAAAGTATCTTTTAGGGAGATGGAACCGCCCTATATTTTGACTGTGATAGAGTTTACCCAACATTATATATTAATAAGATTTATTAGACTATAATTTTAAATGAATTAATTTGACTGTATGAAAATTGTACCTCAATAAAGCTAAAAATAAAGTTGCCTCCAAATAATACACAGTGGATAACATACTTTTTTAAAGTATAAATCAGATTATGTTAACCTTGAAAAGATTGTGATTCCTTGGAATCTTTTGTTGGCTTCCTACCACGCTTGGAGTAACATCTTAACTCTCTTCTGTGAACCCTCAGGTCCTATGAGAGCTGGCTCCTTCTACCTACCTCTCCAAATCATTGCCTACATTCTTTCACTGCTCACTATGCCCCATCCATACTGGCCTTTCTACTCCTTAAACATTCAGAACTCAGTGCTACCTCAGGGCCTTTGTACTTGCTATGCCCTCTGCATTGAACTCCTTTCTTGTCCCCAGATCTTCCCAGGCCTGGTGCCTTCACATTACTCAAGTGTCATCTTACATGTTACTCCTGGGAGAGACCTTCCTCATGGTTCCTTTTAAAATAGCTCCTGATTCACTCCCATTCACATAACCCTAATTTATTGCCTCTAGAAATTCATTACCATCTGGAATTAATTTGTCCATTTATTTATTTCCTTTTTTACTACATTTCTTCTTTTTTCCTCTCTGGCATATAAAACTCCGTGAGAAGAGGAAACATGCCTGGCATTAAACTACTTGTGGGATGGCTGCTGAATGAATTACAGATTCAAGTACAAAAATGCAATAAAATGCATGTGGTTACTGATCATCTCAGGCCATAGGACAGATGTCCTCTTGAATAATATACAGTCTGGTTAATCAGCTTATTATTTTAAGGGCAGGATGTGCTAAATGCCTGCCTTGCTT